GAAAAGCAAGTTCCTCATCAACACAGAGAATATGGTGCACCCGTCACATGTCCAGGCAATCTGTGCTCTTCCCTACCCTGGTCCCCACATACCATCTTAGCCTCCTTACACTTAAGAATAAAATATACATATGCATAGACAGGGTGGTGAGCATAAAGCAGAATGATACGTTTGAAGAGCAAAGCCATTGTGTTTACTGATCAAGGTCGTAAATTGCTATGTGTCTTAGAATGAAGAGTGTTATCACACTGTTTAAGGTCATAAATTGCTATGTGTCTTAGAATGAAGAGTGTCATCACAAAGCATTTCCACTCACCTCTGATTCTAAAAACACTACATGTCTTTTTTTGAGGACTAAACAGAGGGCATGCAGCTCATACATCTTATGGGGATGGGGCATATTCCTTATAAATTTAGGACTAAATCCCTGCTGGTTCTAAGGACTCAGTAGATGAAGGTGCACATGAGAAAAAACCTGGGAAGGATTCTGTGCTTTTGGAACACCTTTCCCTCTAGCCATTCGAAGGAGGGTCATATTGCAGCCCCTTTGCCTTTTCCACCTCTGTTAGTCTCACCAGCTAGCTGGCCCTGAGGATGTTGACAACAAGGGAGCTTTCATCCTTGGGTCACTGGTTGAGATTCACTATGGATTTGGTCCAACGCAGTCAATGCTCACAGCAGTTCGCAGACTAGACTCATGGAGGACGAACCAAGGTCTCCTTACTTACATCACTGACTTGGACACTTTCATGTACAAGCTGTCCCACACACAGGTCCTCTGCAGCCCACAGGGACTGTGACAGAAGGGAGGAACCTGCCTAGAGCACGCATTTGTTTTACAATCCGAGAGCCGCAGGCGAGGTTCTCTGCCATGCCCGAGACGGTAGCAAACCAGGTGTGATATTTTATGGATAAATGCCCAGGATTCACCTATCATCAACTATTATCACATAAAGCAGGGACAATGCAGACAGGACATCTGGGCCGTTTGTTTTCTAGCAATTAGCATCTAATGAGGACTCACTGTATGCAGCACAAAACTGAGTCCTTGACACAGATTATTGCTTTAAATCCTGACAATACCCTGCGTTAGGTCCCATTTTACCCCAAGTTCACAGGTGAGGAAACCAAAGGGGCTTAGAGAGGTTCAGCAGCTCATCCAAGGGCAGAGAGCTAAGAAAGGGCAGCCAGGGATCTGAACCCTGCTGAGCTGAGTGAGCTATGTTATGCAGCCTTTGATTGAAATTTGATGCAGATACTAGAATGTTCAATTAGCATGATAATTGTGGAGTAAGATAAAACAAAATCAAAAGCTAAGAACAGTGCCTTCCACAGAGTAAGTAATCAACATTGACATTTCATCATTCACAGCACCAAAGGCAGGGTTGCTTAGTCAACCTAACATTAAAGAAACAAATATTTTTTACCTTTTTTTTGGTGAAGGACACAAGTCACACAATATACATAGATATCTAATATCTGCTGGGTGCAGAGGAACAGTCTAAAACCATCACTGAAGCAAAGGAAATACACAACTGTTTCCAAGTATTTGGGGTAGTGTAAATAAATAATGTTATCCTACCCAAACAACATAATAAAAGTTAAAAATTTTAAAAAACCTCAAGTAGTTATAGATAAGTAAAGCCTCTGAAAATGATTTAAAATTTCATTTCAATGTCTAAAATTATAAATTCTCAAACAAATCATTATAAGTTATTTTAATAAAGCTTGAAGTTTAGCACCTACAAAGTATCTTATGCATAGTAGGTTTCCAATAAATCATTCTGGAATGAATGAGTGAATTCATGAATATGCTTTTAAAAACAGACACTGTCCTTTCATTATGTTTAGGATATTTTTTTTAAAGTTTTTATTTATTTATTTGAGAGAGAGAATGAGAGCACGAGAGGCAAGAGGGTCAGAGGGAGAAGCCGACCCCCCACTGAGCAGGGAGCCCAATGCGGGACTCGATCCCGGGACTCCAGGATCATGACCTGAGCCGAAGGCAGTCGCTCAACCAACTGAGCCACCCAGGCGCCCTAGGATATTTTTTTTTAAGATTTTTTTTTTTTAATACTATGATGCAGGTTGCATGATATTTTCTTATTAACAATTTTTAAATCATTTCCTTAGTAATGATTTTTTTTCTTTAAAGGAATCTCAGGATCAGTCTCTACTTCAAACAAAGGTAAGGAAATAACTATCATCCTGAAAGACAAAAAGAAATAACTAAATAACTGGCCAGAAATAATTAAAATAATTAAGAACAGAAATGAAGTTTTCAGATATGAGAGGTAAAAAGAATAGCAGCTTCAAAATATCTTTATTACCATTTAAGAAAATATAAAACTGTTCTCTATGTAGCATAATGAAAACACATGAAATGTATAAATTTAAGCCACTGTGACTGGTGAAGAGTGAAGACATTTCCCAGTACTGTATACATAATTGAATAGATAAATTCAGACCAAGAAAATACCTCTTTCTCAAAAGCACTGTGGTGCCCTGGGTTACTGTGGGGACTCAACAGTTTAACTAATGTGCACTCAAAAATTACTTCATTTTTTAAAAAGAACTTCTAAAAGACTAATATGAGCATAAAAATACAAATTACTGCAGTTATTTCTATACGGTAAAATGTTAGATTAAATCACTGATGAAACTGTTCAGTAAACCTATTATGTTTAAAAGGAAAGAGGAGAGAGGTACATGGAAAATAGTAAAGATTTCTAGCAACAATTTCTACACCTTTCCTTCAGAGCTGTGTCCTTTCACCAACAGGCAAATCTGAGATTCCCCAGGTATTCCCCAGGCATTAGGAAAGTCAATAGCATTACCTTCGGGTCCTAAGGTTGCTTTTGAATAAGCTTTTATCTCATTTTAGCAACAGTTTTTTAAAAAAGCCCCAAAACACAGGACATATATAACCTTGGCTCACCATTACTCTGCCTTCCTTAATACAATCTGCTAAAAGAGCCAAAGTGTTGTGGTTCAATTTCATAAGCTTCATCACATGGTTCTGCCAAACTGCAAAGCTAATGGGACAAATACATAAGCTGACCATACTGTACAACAGGTAAAATAGACCCTTAAAATAAAAAACGGAGCTATAGTCCTTAAGGAGACACGCTTTTTTTTTTTAAAGGAAAAAAAATGAGGTAGTAACATTTTCAAAAAAAGTAAAAAAAAATTAAATAAGTAATATAAAATAGTAAAATAACCCAAATTGAATGTGATTTGTGCTTTCTAAATCCAGCCTGCATTTGTACATCATTTCCATATTAAACAGCCTGAGGTTCTGCCTGGTACTTGCTAGAAGAAATCTGCAGGGAATGAAGCCTAGTGCCTGATTCCACATGTGACAAAGCATTTTTTAAAAAAATTACTGATAAGCACATTGCCTTGATTGTGACCATGCCACACTAAGCACAAATTTTAAAGCCAAGCACTGGTCAGTAAAACTGTCTCTCAGTAGTTCTCATGGTTCCAACAACTTTTAAGAACATAGGAACATGATTCAATTTAAATATAGGAACACAGATTAAGTATGAGAAATACACATTTTTATGCCTAAAAACAAACATTTTTCACACTTACAAAATATGCACAACAAATATTACTTGAGACAAAACCTAGCAATCAGATCTGCCTATTGCTGTCAACTTTCTTGTCTTTCTGAGAGGCTAATCAGTCTATGGAGTAGACATAGGCAAAAGTGGAATAAATGCATGGCAGCCGCCACAGTCTCATTAGGACCCAGGAATCCTACAAGGAAAAAGAAGCCACGTGCTAATAATACTCTAAAGAAAAACAAGCTGCATATTTCTCAGAGTCTGATGAATTACTTTTTTTACTTTTCTACTTTTTTCATTGACTGTTTTAAAATACATGCTTGGGGGTACCTGGGTGGCTCAGTCTTTAAGCGTCTGCCTTCGGCTCAGGTTACGGGATCAAGCCCCGCATCAGGCTCCCTACTCCCCGCGGGAAGCCTGCTTCTCCCTCTCCCACTCCCCCTGCTTGTGTTCCTTCTCTCGCTGTGTCTCTTTCTGTCAAATAAATAAAATCTTTAAAAAATAAAATAAAATATATGCTTGCTCCTAAGGAGAAAAGAGGAAGACTTGGTTAGGGAGTAAATCTTAAAAGACCCCCAAAGCTATGCAGGTTTATACAGAAGTCTTTCATCTTCCAACACCTGTTACTGAAGTTCCTACACTTGTACTTAAAAAAAAAAAAAAGAGAGAGACTGGGAGGAAGCTCCATCTGGTTTACTTTCTGAGTTGGGATTTGCACACCTACTGATGAATTCTCTCTCGCACTCTTTCCCCCGCAAATCTTCAGAGAAACATGCACATACATGCAAACACAGACGATGTACTGACCACTGTATGTACAGGTTCAACACCATGACAGAGGAGACAAGCCATCCTACGATAATCAAAACAAATCACTGTTAACAGTGAGAAAAGGGTTCTTTTAAAGCCAGCTTGGACTCTTCATGTCCCTATTCCTACTCAGTTTCTCTTCGTCCAGAAACTTGGAAGGATCAGAAAGACAAAACAGTTTGCATTAAAGGAAGAGAAAGAAAACAGAATGTTCGCTTTTCGGGGGTACTACAAAATCAGCAACGGGACCCGGCTGCGCCCAAGTGCAGCATTAAAGACTGCCAGCCCAGACCCTCAGATACGTCGTGTAATCAAGAAAAGTAAATAAATAATAGTGGTCATTGTCATTAAGAATGAAAATAGTAATAACGATTGTCACCACGGGGTTCCGTACAGCAGCTGCACATGGAGCGGACTTCTCCTCCAGCCCCCACCGCGCGCAGCCTCCCGGCAGCAGGACACCGCGGCGGAGAAAGGCCCGTGGGCTCTGCGCGCGCCGAGCCGTGGGGCGGGGCCGGCTTCGCGGGGTTCCTCGGGCACGCGCCCCGCCCGGCCCCGCCCTCCCCTTCAGCGCCTGAGAGGCCAGCGGGCTGGGCGGCATTATCGGCTTCCGGTTGCTAGGGCCAGTCTCCGTGGCCTCTGGCCGCGCCTTGCCAGGGGACCAGGATAACCTACGTGCTTTCCGCGGGAAGACCCACCACCTCCCTTGACCTTTACCTCGCTGCCTAAATTCCGAGGCCAAGGGGAAAAGCCAGTTATTTTTAGAAGCAGCTGATTGATTGCCTTTGAGGGTAGTATAGGAGTCCAACCGATCTTCTCCGATAATACGGAAGGAAAATTACCAGCATCGAGTGGACGTACTAACAGGGATCATACCTTGAGCGCTTGTGTGCAAAGTTATCTTTGGAGGCTAAAACGGCCCATTTATGCAGCTCCAAAGCATTCCCTTCTGGAGTGTCAACGGAATAGTGATGTGTCAGGCACTTTGATGTGGCCCTGAGAACTAAGCGCATGTTTTGGGGGTCCATCTTCTGGCATCATTTCTAAATAGTACTAATTGGAACAGAGATCCTGGAAAATCTAATTAGATTGAAGACCATCTTATTTTTTGATTAAATAGTATAACCCAACTAGTAGTGGTTGCAATTTATAACAAGTCACTGTTACTGAAAGAAAACAGCTTACTTGTGAATACTTAGATATGGTGGGTCTTAAGAGGCTATCATGGAGGGATTTCTTATCTTTTTGACCAAATCTTTTTCCAAATATGTAAAGTGATAACATTTTGAAGGTAGAGAAAAGAAAAATGAATGTTATTTCTACTGTTCTGGAAAATCAGTATTAACTAGATGATCTAACTTGGCAGATTGAACATTTTTGCTAACATGGGAAATTTTAGAATGATCCTGATTGGTAATAGTATATGTATTTTAAAATTCTGTGTTAATTATAAATCTAAATTTTATCTAGATTCTTTCTAGCAGTTTTAAAGAATTTTATTTCTTATCCTCTCTTTTATAGGAATTCTGCTTGGACTCAGTACAATAAGTACAATATTAGCACAGAATGATTTTCACTAAGATGTAATCTAGATTCTAACAAATGATTTTTCAGCAACAATTCAAACATATTCAAAACGTTTTCAATTCTCATTTAACCAAGAGCTATGAAAAACATGCTTATTGTTAATTAAAATGCAAAACCACCCACAACTACTTCGAAGACCTTTACCTCCAAAATTCCCTAAGCTGCCTTTAAGTAAGAAGAAAGTCCATACAGGTATGTGTGTTAATCAGATATGTTATTAAGTTTATTTATTTTTCATAGAAATTGCTCAACCTGCACAGTTCAGAATCACAATAGTGAAAAAGACACTCACTAATAAGCAGTAACTTACAAATGTTTGTTGTGAGATGATAACATCCAATTCAATTCTACAATTACAGTTGATCCTCATTGTTTGTGGATTCTATAGGTGCAAATTTACCTAACTGCTAAAATTATTTCTAACCCCCAAGGCAGTACCCTGTGCTGTAGTTTGTCTTTTTAACTCAATGATATATCATGAAGAACACTTCAGAGCCATAGAGAGAACTCTTTCTCCTTTTATAATAGGTGACACTGTATGCAGGAGAGTAGCATATATGGTGACTCTTGGTCATCAGTGGATGAGTATGAGCAGGGCAGTGAAAACTCGCGTTCGCAGCTGACGTCCAGCAAGGGATATGCTCTGCCTTCTTGTTTCAGCTCTTAAACTGTAAACAACGGCCCCTTGCTCAGTCTGTTTTCAGTCTTTTCTCAGTGCCATGTTTTTAAATTTTTTTGTGCTTTTTGTTGGTGATTTTGCTGTCTAAAATAGCCCCCAGGCATAGTGTTCCAGTGCTGTCTTGTGTTCCTGAGCACAAAAAGGCTGTGATGTGCATTATAGAGAAAAACATATGTATTGGCTAAGCTTCCTTCAAGTATGAGTTGCAGTGCTATTGGCTGTTTGTTCAATATTAATGAATCAACAATATATATTAAAGTGTCTTTAAATAGAAACACGTGGGCGCCTGGGTGGCTCAGATGGTTAAGCGTCTGCCTTCAGCTCAGGTCATGATCCCAGGGTCCTGGGATGGAGTCCCGCATCGGGCTCCCTGCTCCTTGGGAGCCTGCTTCTCCCTCTGCTTCTCTCTCTCTCTCTCTCTCTCCCTCTCTCTCTCCCTCTGTCTCTCATGAATAAATAAATAAAATCTTTAAAAATATATATATATATATAAATAAATAAATAAATAAATAGAAACACGTATAATACAAGATTGTGTATTGATTGGCTGCTGATAATGTTGAGACCAGAGGCCTAGAGGAACCTAACCCTGTATTTTTCCTAGAAGCAACGATTCGGTGTTGGATAATTCAGTGTTCACTGAGATTTTTATAGAAAAGAACTGTAAGGAATAACAAGAATCAACCATACTTCTGAGCACAGTGCTAGGAATCGGGGGTGCAATAGTGAGCAAAAGAGACCCTGTCCATCCTCTTCATTGGTTACCCCCTGGTTGGATGAAATAATCATATAAGTAAATGTAAAATTATCCTGTGATAAGTGCTATGAAGTGAAGATGAGCCTCTTGAATAACTATCACTTTATATAATACCCTTAATCCTTAATTTCCATATGTGGTATCTATTGACTCCTTACTTGTAGCAATGATAAAATTAGCATATTTCCACTTTTTTCCCCTTTTCAGGGGAAAATCTAAAATCAAGTGGTTGAGTTGATTGTTTTCATTGTAATTTTAGTTGATGTAGTCATTATTTTATAATGTATTTCCTTATTTTAGTGTCAACATTTATACTGTGAAAGTATGTGTAGACTGTAACTTGATTTACAATGTTAAATTATTACCTTTGATTCATGGCTATTAAAGATATATAAATCAACATGCCATACAACCTCCAATTTCCTATTCCACTTTCCCTTTCAACTTTTGTTATATCCTTTCTACATTTCTTTTGTGTTCTATATTTCTACATTTACAACCTGTTCTATAACAATAATGCTGACACAGTTATGTGGATTTACTGCTCACTACCAGTTCTTCTGTTGTAGTTTTTTCATTCATCTTTTAGTTGAAGTTTATCCACGAGTACAGGACTGATTAATTCTTTTTTTGTCAGGGAGGTGGGGGGGCTCTCCTGCTTTTTGGCACCTCAGAGGTTCTGTGACCTCGACTGTTATTAATCCCATGTTTCCAAAGGCTCTTGGTAAAGTACTTTGCATTTAGTAGGTGTTCAAAATATTTGTTGAGTGAATTCATTAATACTTAAAACGATTCAAGTACAGTTTATAAAAATGAATATTCAAACACTGAAATAAAACCCTGAAATAAATATCTATAATTTGCCTACGATTCTAGATACTATAGGGAATTAATAACCTGAATGACCTGGTGCTTGCCTTTCAGGACATTTTAAGACCTTTAATCAAGTTCTAAAGATGAGTTACACATAAAATCAGAACCTTAAATAACAGTATAAGGCAGCATAGAATTTATGTCCAATTAATGGTACAGACGGTAGTTCATAGATACGAGAGAGCACTGGGGCTGGAATGGGGCTTGAACTAGGACTTGAGGAATTAGTAAAAGTGGAATGAAATATGCTTTATAGAGGAGAACTGTGTCATTTCTGATGACAGAGGAGAGTCTTTTGGAAAAGTAGAAATTTAATATATTAGATAAAAAAAGAAAAGAAATCATGGGGAAACGTATCAAAAACTAGGGAAGTATAGAATTGAAAAGATGATAGCATCTTCACTGAGAGGATTTGCCTAAGCACCTCTTCTCCCTCCGCCCAGTCAGAGTACTTTCCTTTATGCTCCATTAGTATTCCACATTTACCCCTACCAAGCACATACATTCTCTGGTGTAACTGTTTTGTTTTGTTTTGTTGGTTTTTTTAGATTTTATTTGAGAGAGAGCACACACAAGCGGGGGGCAGGGGGCAGAGGGAGAGGGAAAAGCAGGCTGGGACCCCGATGTGGGACTCCATCCCAGGACTCTGGGATCATGATCTGAGCCAAAGGCAGACGCTTAACCCACTGAGCCACCCAGGCGCCCCCCTCTGGTGCGACTGTTTACCGGTCTAGTTTCTATACTAAATTGTGAGCTGTTGGCTGTTAGTAAGGTGTGTGCTGTGTGATTGTACCCTCAGCACTGTGTACAGCTGGTACATGATATGTGTCAAACGTTTATCGAATTAGAACAGTAAGTGTGGGCTATATTTATCAAGAAAGATGGATTGAATAAAGTTTAAGGTAGACTTTGGAAAGAAGAAAATGATCTCAGTTTTTTCGTAAGAGAAGGTATTCCGTGCAGGGTGATCAACCTAAGAAATGAAATCACACATAAGCAGTATGGGCTTTGTGATCATCGGTAATAATTAGAGTATCTGAAGGTTTCCATTGGAAATTAATGAGTCATTACCCAACAAGGTTAGGTGAAGTGGATCCAATTCACATAGATTTTTACTCACCAAAGTAAGGAATCTGAGCTATCACTGATAAGTTTCAGATAATGTGATGGAAATGTTATCAGACTGTGTCAGAAAATCAAGGGTGAAGTTAGATCAATGTCAACTAGGATGATGGCAGTGAAAATTAGAAGGGAAAATCTGGGTTTTTTTTTTTAAAATATCACTTAACTGCAATAGAAAAAGTTTGAAATGCAAGAGCCTGTGTGAAGGCACTTCATAAACTATAAGATCATTGCATAGTTTTGAGATGTTACATTCCCTGTAATACTTCTTGCTTGGCCTGCAGTTGTTTACTGACTTGCAGCAACCTGGAAAGTGCAAAAGTCCCTAGAGTGGGAGTCCAGGGATCTGAATGCTGGTCTTAGCTCCAACATTGATATGATGCATGGCTTTAGGAAGTCATTCAGTCGGTGGGTCTTATCTTTCTATTCTGAAACAGCAGAACTTGATTAGGTCACTGATTTTCAATCCTTTTCTCCACTGTAAACCAAATGAAGATGGGACATGAATCCATCAGAACAATAGCTCACTTCTTCGTTGATTCTCATGGTAGAAAAGGAAAGGGGAGTGGAGTGGGGAAGGTAAAGAAGTAGGGAATTAGAAGCTTTGGAGCTGACATATGTAATTTGAGTATAGCCTGGAGGTGATTAATTGGATATGTTAAATGTGAGGACTGAGGAATTGGAAGTATGGTAGACTGAAAAATAACCCCATAAAAAGATATCAACATCCTAATCTCTAGAACCTGTGAATGTTATCTTATATGGCAAAAAAAATAATAAAAATAAAAGTTGTATGGGGTTACAGATAGAATCAAGTTAAGGATCTTGTGATGAAAGATTATTTTGGATTATCCAGGTGGGCCCAAAATGCAATCACATGTATCTTTATAAGAGAGAGGCAGAGGGAGATTATACACATAGAGGAGAAGATGATATGAAGATGGAGCAAAGAGAGATTTGAAGATGCTGGCCTAGTCTACGGCCATACCACCCTGAACGCTCCCAATCTCATCTGAAGATGCTGGCCTTGAAGATAAGAGTGATGTGGCCACAAGCCATGGAGTGCTGGCAGCCACCAGAATCTGGAAGAAGCAAGGAATGGATTCTCTACAAGAGAGTCCAGAGAGAACATGGCCCAGCTGACACCTTGATTTTTGGCTCAGTGATATAATTTTGGCTTCTGGCCTCCAGAAGTGTGAGAGAATAAATTTCTGTTGCTTTAAGCCACCAAGTATGTGGTAATTTGTTACAGCAGCTAGAGGAAGCTAATACAAGAGAAATCCAAGATTCCAGTATGTGTATGTGTGTGTGTGTGTGTGTGTGTGTGCGCACACATATGTGTGACAAGATAACAGATGTATCTCTATGAGATAAAGGAGAACAGAAACTGCTGATGAGTTTGGTGTAGACATGATAAGTTTGAGGTGCTTAGGGTTTTCAGACCCAGACTTAGAATTATTATTGTATATGGAAAATTAGTTAAAAGTGAGAGGAGGGATAATGATAGAACCTTTGGGAATACTAAATGGTAAATTGAGAAAGAAAGATTTGTCTAGAGAAAGATGAATGGCCAGGTGGCATTAATGGAGAAATGATGGTGTTCTCATGAGAGCCAAGGAGAGAGTGAATTTCATGGAGAAGAGAGTGGATTAAAGTATCAAATGCTAAAAAGAGGTCAAATAAAGTTAGTAATAATTTGTCTCCATTAGGTTTAGCAACCAGATATCAATAACTTTGTGATAACAGCTTTGGTAGTAGAGGTGGAAAATTCTAGGTCATAATGGTTTGAAAAGTAAATGGGAGGAGACTTTGAAAGGACAATGAAAGAAACTTTTTATTATAAATTAAATATCCTTTCTAAATGCAGCACATCAAACTTAAGTTGTCTTGTTGTTTTTTTTTTGATTATCAAGATAGCTGGAATTTAAAGTATTAATACCAATCAATAAAGTATATACCAATTCAAAATAAAAGAAAGTAGACTTAGATGAATTATAAATGTATATCGCAAACTTCAGGGAAACCACTTAAAATTTTTTTAAAAGAGGTATAATTGATATGCTAAGAGAGAAACTGAGAAACTGAAGGAGAGAAACTGAATCAGAATGCTCAATTGAAACCAGAAAAAGAAGAAAAGGAAGGGAAGATTTAAAAAAGAAGATGACGAAGCAGCAAAACAATAGCAATGATTAGAAAACTTTATAAATGTGGCAGATATTAAGCCAATAATGTCCATAATTCATTAAAAGTGAATGGTCTAAGTATACCAATTAAAAGACAAACTGTTATAGCAGATAAAGAAACAAGACCCAACTCTATGTTGTCTATAAGAAACTTACTTTAAATATAAAAACACAGGTTAAAAGTAAAGGTGCAGAGAAAGACATACCATACTAACACTAACCAAAAAAAAAGCTGAAGTAGCTATATTAATTTCAGACACAGCAGATTCAGAACAAGAAAAATTATTAGGGATAAATAGGGGCAATACTTAATTATAAAGGGGTCGATTCTTTAAGAAAACATAATAATCTTTGACATGTACCCCAAAGAGGGAATCAAAATATCTGAGGCAAAAACTGCTAGAATTGTTAGGAGAGATAGATAACTCCATTATTATAGTTTAAGAGTTCCACACCCCTTATCAGTAATTAATAGATCCACAGGTGGAAAATTAGTAAGGCACCAAATAGTACCATCAACAGGATCCAATTGTCTTCACCTAACAACAGCAGAAAACATTCTTCCCAAACTCCTATAAGACTCTTATCAAGCTAGGCCACATTCTGGGCCACAAAACACACTTTTAAAAGAACAGATATTATAAGGTGTTTGCTCTCAGAACACAGTGGAGTTAAACTAAAAATCAATAACAGAAGGATATGTGGAAATCCCAAAATATTTGGAGATTAAACAACACACTTAGGACAGGGGTCAAAATAGTCACAGAGATATTTTAAAATGTTTTGAACTAAATGAAAAATACAACCTACCAAAATGTGTGGTATACAGCAAAAGTAGGGCTTAGAGGGTAGGTATAGCCTTGAATGCATATATTAGGAAAAGAAGATTAATCTAAAACAAATACTCTAAGTTTTTACCTTAGGAAACTAGAAAAGGAGAAGACTAGGTATCCTAGTCAATCATTCAGAAGGTAATCTAGATGAACTCTAGAAGCAGAATGCCAATGCTGATGGATGCCTTCATGGGCACATTTCCGTGAATGATACAAATTCACTAAAAGATGAATAACTATAATGAAATCATACCACCCTCAACATGAATTTTCAGAAGTATCCAAAAGGCAGAACAATAGCACACACACACACACACACACAAATCAGTGGTTGCCAGAAGTTTGTTCAGGGAGAGGAGAAGTGTTGAATAGGTGAAGCACAGGGGAATTTTAAGGTGGTGAAATTTTTTATGCTATTTTAATAGTAGATGCATGACATTGCACATTTGTCAAAATCTATGGAACTGTACAACACAGAGAATGAACCCTAATGTAAACTATTGACTCTAATTGTATGTCAACATTGGTTCATCAATTGTAATAAATGTCCTACACTAATGAAAGATGTTACTAATAGATAAAACTGTGTGCAGGGGAGGGGAATGTATGGGAACTGTCCTCTTAAGTTTTTTTTTTTTTTGTATCTAAAACTGTTCTAAAAACAAAGTCCATTGGTTTAATTGAAAGTTAAATAGGGCGCCTGGGTGGCTCAGTCGTTAAGCGTCTGCCTTCGGCTCAGGTCATGGTCCCAGGGTTCTGGGATCGAGTCCCACATCGCGCTCCCTGCTCGGCGGGAGGCCCGCTTCTCCCTCTCCCACTCCCCCTGCTTGTGTTCCTGCTCTCGCTGTCTCTCTCTGTCAAATAAATAAATAAAATCTTTAAAAAAAAAAAAAAGAAAGTTAGATTAAATAAAGTGAAACAACAAACAACAGAGAGGAGAAGAAAAGACATCAAACTGAGCGTAAATTACTTCAGCTTGCCATTGAAGGGAAGGATAAATATGGTGAGATGGTGGTGGTTGGAAGGAGTTCTGGAGTTTGTTGAGGATTTTGCTTGTGTTACTATGTTTGTTGTCATATGGGAGAGAGAAAAAAAGGTGAAGATAGTGGTGTAACCATTTTATTGAATGAGTTACTTTTTATTAGTTCCATATAAAGAGGAAGCAAACATTCTTCTCCTCCTCCTCCGGCCCCTTCAAACTCACATGGCACACATTTCTCTTCCCAGGCTTTTCTCGTCACTTTCAGCTATGAGCCTTGTTTCATTTTCAGATATTAAATGAATATTTCAATCTAAATCATTACTTTTAACTAGCATGAAATCAAACCTTGCCCTTTCTCCCAGCTCAGACTAGGTCTGCTGATTTTTAGACAAGTCAAAGGAAACAGGGGCATGATAAGTCCTTCCAGCTTGTTCTTTATTTCTTTTCCACAACTTATAGTTTCCGCTCCTCCATAGGTGGGGCCAGGGGTGGGGAAGAGTTAAGGAATGAAGGCAAGAATCAGGCATCCGTCTCTGTACCCCCTGAAATGTCAGGAGATACAGATCAAGGAGTTTCAAGGATCCTCTCGCCTTGCTCCAACTGGAACACAGCCCTGGATGGGCTAATACTTTTTTGCTCCTCTGTAAGTATTAGTGGGGGATATGACGAGGGGAATGGTGAGATGTTATATTCTCCTTGTGGCATACACTCCTCTTCTCTATAAATGGTTCTCTGAGAATTTCCCTCACATGGTTTGAGGTAGGAGGGAAATCATCGTCTCCCACCCACCACAGGGAGGGGAAGGTAGGGAAAACACATACCACCCCAATAGCTCTATTCAGAACAATTCCTCTCTCCGAACTCAGGGCAGTCTCTAGCCATCTCTTATATATAGATAACAGATGGGTGAGAGTTGGATTTGTTTTGGCCATCTCTTTGCAAGCCTTGCCTTAATGAGTCTGTTTTCTCTTCCTTAGAAGGCAGAGGTCCTCATCATTTATTGTACTCAACTGAGACAATGGAAGAAAGGTCATTTAACATTCAGTCACATAGGAGAGAGAAAGTATATTTGGTGTAGTGAGGTACTGAAGAATGCAGGCCCAGTGCATTTTCTGCACCGAAGAGAGAAAAGAACATTTACCATTATAACATAACTGAACCTGTAGTACCTTGTAGCCGATATCAGGATGTTATCGTGTTTAGACATTGGTCTGCCCATTTGGCATTGAAAAGAAATGTCTTTGCTCGAAGAAGTTTCAAATGAAGAAGAGATAATGATAAGTGATAAATAACAAAACTTCATTAAAATCATTTTGCCCATCCATATTTACAGTTTTAGTAGTAACTGCTCAAAAAAACTCCCTTTATGTCCTACTCTTCTATCAATTCTGTTCTTCCAAGAGTTGATCCCTACCCTTTCTAAACCAAATACAATTTAGTCTTTCCCCTTCTCCAGTTGATCAAACTTTACCCCAGTCAGCTAAACAAAAGTCCTGATAGCTGAGCAAGCATACACAGAAATTTTCAGAAGGTGAAAGAGGCGTGAGGAAATAAAGAAAAGCTATGAATGCTAACGCATTAATAGTTTTGTCCCTGATACCTTGATAAACATAAACTAATTGTGCTTTTTTTTTTTTTCCTGGTTTAGCCAAGACTGGTAAAACTGAGCCAAAACATGTGAAGTTCATTCAAGATGAAACCACTTCAGTTGAAAGAAAGAAAACTAGTTTTCCTGATGTTGTTTCAAGAAATCAACCACAAACCCTTGTCAAAATCCAAAATCTTTTTCTTGATCATTATGTACAAGAAAGAGTGACTACTAATTCAATACCCAGAAAAACTTTTAAGAATGTCTATTGGCACATTCCAGAGACTGCTACTGGTTCCATATTTTTTCCAACCTGTCAATCAGCCTCAAGTCGAGTTTTTGGGAAAGAAACAAGACAAATGAAAAGGTCAAGAAAATCAAAAGACAGAGCATCAAAAATAAAAAATTTTTATTTTGGTGACATGTTCAAAGACATTCTGTTTCTCTCCTCAGAGTTCTCCAGACTTCCAAGTACCACTTCCCTAGCTATTCCTCCCAAACCCGAGGAAGTTCACTCTGAGTATCTACCTTTATCTACCTATAGTTTTAGGCAATCTCTGATAGGTCCACACGCAACAATGCCAAGCCCTGTTCCAGGATTTAGGCGTGCTAAAGCAGAAAGACGATGGGCTAAACATTTAAAACAAAATACTGCCATGGTACTAAGTATTACTCATTTTCCAGGCTTCATGTCCATACCAACACCAGTTTTGCCAAGAAAACCTCGAAGACAGTCTTTGTTAGGTAAATCCATTCTGAACATGGTTTGTAATAATGGGATCAAGTAGAGCAAAGGGGAGAGAAGGCATGCAAAGGGTAGTTATCCCTTGGGTTTGCAGCTTTGGATGATGGGATCACTTTTTGCCTATATGTTCAATATATGAGCCAGAATGCAATAACAGAGGTACTGACCTTGAAGGTCTTCCACGGTCAAACTGGGTGCTCTACCCAAATGGTGGTAGTGGGTAGTGGGAACCAGATGAGGGAGTTCAAAGGATCAGAAAAGTCAATATAAAAGAGCAGTGAGAATGAACAATCATTCAGAAGGTAATCTAGATGAACTTTAGAAGCAGAATGCCAACGCTGATGGATGCCTTCATGGACACATTTCCATGAATAATACAAATTCATTAAAAGATGAATAATTATAATGAAATCATAACACCCTTAACATGAATTTTCACAAGAATCCAAAAGTTGGTTCATTTTTTTCTTTTTTCTAGAAACTCATATAACAGAATCCGAAAATGTAGAAAGTACTCCAAGGCAAAGCATGCCAAACCTGCCTGAAGGTAAATGCTATATCATTCTTTAAAAAACTGCATATAAGTTTATCTCTCTATAAAAGTATTCATGATTTTGTGTGTTGGTGTATGTGTGTGTGATTCACATGTATGTCTCACCTCATTTTCAGCTCTTTAGGCCATTTAGTCAGTAACTATTTTTTTTAAATATTGACTATAAACCAAACTTTGTACTGATGTTGGGAACATAAAAGCTCAAGTATCCTTATTCTGGGTGGGGCAGATAAACATGAAATAATGAAAAGTAACTACTCTCCAAGTGCCAGGCACTATTCTAAGTGCTTTGACTTTAGCTACCAAGCAGAAACAAATGAAAAATTATCTTTAAAGAAAATTACATCATCCTAGACTCACATTATTTCTACAAATAATTTCACAAATACAGTGAATAGTAAACATTTCATAATTGTGAGGCACACAAAGAAAGAGACAAAATGAATGAGAACTATCAAAAAAGTAAGCAGTAAAAACATGCTCACAGGAGATCCAGGTGTTAGAATTATCAGATACAGATTTTTAAATAACTTGAAGACTTTTGGTCTGTCTACAATTGAGTAGCTTGTATTGGACAAACCCTCCCACCAAAATCAACTATTACAGCTGCCCAAAATATATAAAATAGCTACTGAAGGTATTGGAGAGTAACCATTATAGGCCTGACACGAGCGGCTACAATCTTTGCAATAAGGGAAGCTCATAAGTCAGCTCTACATCTATCTTGGCTTTTGCCTGAGGTCATTTGTGGTGTTAAAGAAGAGAGCACAAGTAGAAAGGGGTAGTATTAACTGAGTTGAGGAGATAGCCATCAGACCTCAGGGCTGTCAATATAGCTGGGGCTTGAGATGCAAAATCTCAGAGAGGAGAAAAGTGAGTCCAAATGTCTGCATACATATCTGCTGATTTCTAATCTGTGCATATGCAGGATAAAACTGGTATGTATCAGCTGATAGTTTCTGCTATGAAACACAACAGAAACTATCAGCTGAGATGCTAAAGAATGAACATATATTTTCATAGTGGCATGGAAGACAGTTATTGGAATTAAAGTTCTGCCAAAATGTAGGGGCCTTGTAAATACACTGGGCTTTTAGTTGAAGATCCAGAGGACCCATGCATTAGAAATAAGGATGATGTTTTAGAAAAAGGCACAAAACTAAAACAGATTATACCTAACAAACTCAAAACCAATCTTTAATGAATCAAAGTGATACTCTTTGCCTAATCAAAGAAAATTTAACACTTGCTGGAGAGACATAACGTTATCCTGATCCTTTAAAAATTCTCATCCACCATGTCCAGCATTAAATTTAAAAAATCACAAGGCATCTTAAAAACCGGATAAAATGTCTGAAAATCAGTAGAAAGAAACAGACAGTAGAAACAGAGCCATAGAATCAGATACTGAAGTTTTCAAATGAGGATTTTAAAATAACTGTGACTACTATGTTTAAGAAAATAAAGAACAAATTGGAGAATTTTACTAGAGAACCAGGAGTTTTGTTTTTAAAAACAAGAGTCAAATAAAATTCTTATAGAAAAAATTATCTAACAAATTAATGATTCAATTAGTGATTAAACATAGAACACTCCAACTATAGAACTCTTTTTTCTGGTTTACTTATTGTGAAATGATTACCACAATAAATTAATATCTATCACCCCACATTTTTCTTGTTATGAGAATTTTTAAGATTTCAAATATACAGGACAGTATTGTTAACTATAGTTAACAATATAGCAACCGTTGGACTCTCTGAGCCCACTGTCCCTCCCAGTAGTTCTGTACCATTATCTGTGACATAAATTAACTTCTCAGTCTCTTCCGCATCATAAACTGAAACAAGTCATGCTGCTACTTCTGATTTATTCGGTTTGTCCCACTCTGGTGGTTCCCTCTTTGAAAAATTTCAGGTGAGTTTAAGGGTCTTCAGATCCTTCGGAGATCCATCAGGGAATTTGTACTTACTTCTCCACCTCCGTCTCCTTCATTTCCACTCAAAAACCAACTGCTTGGGCTTACTCCATGAGGATAGGTGAGCTGGGAGCAGGCCACAGCCTTAGGTCTTAAGTCACTTTCCTTTCCTTCTTGCTCAAGGACTCTCTCTATCATATCACACATCTTTCTGCTGCAGTTAACTTTTACATCTATTGATCTGAAATGGGCACACAGGGCCTATTTTAGAAACTAGAAGCTGAACATTGTTTTCTCTGGTCTAGGATGCATTATATCCTTTCGTTGAAGCAATGGCATAAGAATTACTGAGATTGTAAAATATCATGCTGCAAATAATGCAGCAAGAATGGCTGTGAATATAAAATTTATGTTACAAAATTTCAAAATATTTTCCTGCTGCACTTGGGTGTATACTTGGAGAGGAAATTTTTGATGGAAGGTGAAACCCACAAGGGTCATGATAAAGTAAATTTAGATGATCTCTGTTTGGCTAACTTCTGAGTTGTTCGGATTTTTTTCTTTTCTTGTGTGGGGTCTTCAAACTGAGGGAAGGAAGCTGAATTACATAAGGCACTTGAAATATGCATCAAGATGGTATTAGGAGAAAAAGCAAGGTTGTTCCTTGGGAGGTGATCTCTCTCTGACTTATGATCATATGATGGCCTTTATTAGTTTTATGAAGCAAGAACTTGCTTATGTAAATTAATAAAATTTTTAAAAATATTTTTACATATAACACAAAAAGACTGAGATTGATGGAATTTAACTTATCTAGATAGAAATCTATAAGCATGTGGTTTTCTTTTTGAAAGACGATTGTACTAATATTTGAAACACACACACACACACACACACACACACACACACACACACACACCCTGTTTAGCAACCAGCTGAGATTGGGTGGGTGAAGGTTATGAGGAATCTCTTCCAGAGGATTTACACAGCTAACCTATTTATTATGACTCACTGTTATCATAACATAAATACTTTTTAACTTTCATTCTAAGTGCTAACACAGTTGAGTCTCATGTTTTCTTTTGTTTACTTAGGTATCATTAAATCTAGAAAACCAGAGGAATCACAGGCACATCTCATTCGTGGTGGAGGTCTTAAGACTATTAATGCAACACGATATGAAACAATAATAGCCGTGACCAACCTTGCCATAGTAAACTGTCAAATATATGGAAGAAATGCACTTAATCTTAAGGTATGCTAGATCTTTTTAATGGCAACTTCTTTTTGTATTATCAATTCTTTTTGCTTTAGGTTTCTTAATTTAGGTCAGTTTCCATGTTATTGAAAGGATCTTTCCTGTTGCAATAGAGATTTTCCAGGAACACATTAAGATTTATCTCTAAACCTATGTCCTAGTTTGCCTTCATTCTAGTTTCTTAAAATGTTAAGATCCAAAGCAACTGGATGTTTCTCATTATAGTGTTTTTTCATTATCTAGCATGATAAGAAAATACCTGTAATAGTATTCTGAACCCAGTTCCACCATGGTGGGGGGAATAGTTTCCCCACACCACCAAGCAATTCTCAGACACCAGTTGGGTGTCCTACAGTTCAACTCAATTCTGCCACTACCTAGAGCTAACACCAGATTCCGTAGGTAAAATGTTCAGTCCCTCAAGAATGCCTTCCAGCTCAGAATGCCAGTCACAAGCCCAGGTTGTTACTTGCACTTCTGACCACTGCCTATAAATTAGACGTTCCCATAATCCTCTCCCTGGGTTCAATTAACTGGCTAGAGTAGCTCTGAGAACTCACGAATCCCATTTACTTACTAGATAACTGGTTTATTACAAAAGATATTAAAGGAATTAAAGGATATGAGTCAACAGTCAGATATAGAGATACATAGGACAAGGTATGGAAAAAGGATATGGAGCTTCCATGCCCTCTTCAGGCATAACTCTCCCCAAATCTCCATGTATTTACCAACCTGGACACTCTCCAAACCCTGTCCTCTTGGTTTTTATGAAGGCTTTATTACATAGGCATAATTGGTTAAGCCCTTGGACTTTGGTGATTGAACTCAATATCCAACCCCTCTCCCCTCTCTGGAGGAGGGGGGAGTTGGTGAGGCAGAAAGTGCCAACCCTCTAATCACATAGTTGGTGTCCCTGGAAACCAGCTTCCATCCTTCAGTGCTTTCCAAAAGTCACCTCATTAACATAAACACAGTTGTAGTGGAAAGGGACTTGCTATGCATTTCGCCTTTATGGCTCTGAAGTGATTTCAGGAACTGAGGACAAGGGATCACATAGAACAAAAGATGATCCCATTGCTCTTATGTCTCCAGAAATTTCAAGAATTTGGGGAACTGTGAGCCAGGAACTTTGAATGAAGACCAAATATATATGAGAGATATATTTTGGTCATCTGAGTGACCAAATACAGATTCTTTTGAATTAGAATATCACAATCTCTAACACATTCTATGCTGTCAATATAACCTAGATGCCAAAGGAACAAAAGACACCAAAGAAAACCACAGACCAACACCCCTTATGAAAATAGATAAAAATCCTTAGCAAAATACTAGCAAACTGAATCAAAAAATTAAAAGGATTATATATAATAACAAAGTGACATTTATTCTTGAAATAAAAGGATGATTCAACATAAGAAAATCAATCGAGGGTGCCTGGGTGGCTCAGTTGGTTGAGCGACTGCCTTCGGCTCAGGTCATGATCCCAGAATCCTGGGATCGAGTCCCGCATTGGGCTCCCAGCTCGGCGGGGAGCCTGCTTCTCCCTCTGACCCTCTCCCCTCTCATGCTGTTTCTCTCTCTCTCTCTCTCTCAAATAAATAAATAAAATCTTTAAAAAAAAAAGAAAAGAAAATCAATCGATATACATTAATGCATAAAGGGAGAACATAATCATCTTAATTGATGTAGAAGAGGCATTTGACCAAGACTTAGTTCTTTAAAAGGATTAATAAAATTTCTAAACCCATAATATGATTGGTGAAGGAAAAAAGGAAGAAAACTCTAAATACCAAATTCAAAATAAAAAAAGGGGAAATCACCACATGTCTCACAGACATTAAAATAGAAGATAACAAAACACTCAGAATAACCTTTTCCCAGTAAGTGCCACGGCTGTGATGAAATGGAAAAATTCCTTGGAAAACACAACTTGCTGAAACAGGCACAACAAGAAATAGAACACCAATACAGTTTTGTGCCTGTAACAAAATCTAATTAAAATTTTAATTAAGAGCCCCTTCACACAAAGAAAGTTCTAGGCGCATAGGAACTTCCTTGGTGAGTCTATCAAACATTTAAGGAAAATAACACCAGTTCACATGAACTCATTTTATGATGTCTATTAAACTCCCACACAAAAGCCAGACAAGGATATTATAAGAAAGGAAAATTATAGACCACTATTTTTCATAAATTAAGTGTAAAAATTCTCAACAAAATATTAGCAAATCAAATTCAGCAATATCAAAAATTAAAAATGAAGGATAGTGTATCATGACTAAATGAGGCTTTCACAAGAAATTTAAAGTTGTTTTAATATTTGGAAACCAGTGTTATTCTCAACAATATCATCTCAATAAATTAAAAACTTGACAACATTCAACACCCATTTAAGATGAAAGAAAGGGGCACCCAGTGGCTCAGTCCCTTAAGCATCTCCTTTGACTCAGGTCATGATACTGGGGTCCTGGGATGGAGCTTCCTTTCGGGGTTCCCAGCTCAGCAAGGAGCCTGCTTCTCCCTCTCCCTTTGCCCCTCACCCCAGCTTGTGCTCTTTCTCTCTCTTTCTCTCTCAAATAAATAAATAAAATAGTTTTTTAAAAAGATGAAAGAAAACAAATATACCTCTAAGTAAACTAGGATTAAAGGAAACCTTTCATAATTAAATAAAGGGTATCTATGAAAACTTGGGAACCAGCATCATACATAATCAGTTAAGGATTGAATACTTTCTCCCTAAGATTAGGAGCAAAGCAAGAAAATTTTTTATTTCACTTTTATTCTACATTGTAGCGATGATTCTAGCCACTTACATTAGATAGGGTGTATTGGAAAGGAAGAAGTAAAACTATCTTCATTGGCATACAACATGATTGCTTATGTAGAAAATCTTAAGGAATCTCAAAAAAATCCTACTAATTAAGTAAATTTAGCATGGTTGCTAGATTTACACCATAATGTTCTTTATCACAGAGGGATCTAATCCAGAGTCACATGTTGAATACAGTTGTTTCAGTTTCTTTCAAGCTGGTGTTTCCAGCTTTCTTTCTTTGTCTGACTTTCATGACTTCGAAGCTTAAAAATCACAGGCAAGTTATTTTGAAAATGTGCATTATTGTGTATTTGTCTTATATTTTCCAATGATTAGATATAGGTCATTCACCTTTGGCATTAATATCGCAAAAGTTTTTTTTAATTCTATCATATCACATGGTGCATGATTTCAATTTATCCCATTACTAACAGGGTTTACTTAGATTACTTGTTTAAAGTGGTATCCTCAGAGCTTCTCCACTGTTACTCTTTTCCCCTTTGTACTTAATATATAAAAATTATGCAAATAATCTTATTTCTCATCAAATGTTCAATTATTTATTAATTTACATCATTGTTTCATGTCATGAGTATAATCTGTTATACCGTTATTTATTTTTATTCTGAAGTTGTCCCAGATTTCCTTAGTAAAAGCCCATTCAAGTTGGTTTCTGTGTCCTTTCGACATTTCCTGTCATGTGCTGTGGCTGGTATGGGGGATCCCAGAGTGCTCTGAGCTGGGGCTACCCTGGTGGGACAGCTGGAGCTGAAGTGGGCATGGGCTGAGGTGGTCCTAGGATTCTTTGTATAGAGGGTCCTCTGACAGGACAGCTGAAACTGAAGTGGGTGCAAGCCAAGCGGTCCTATCATGCTCAGCACAGGGTCACTCTGGTAGGGTGGCTGGAATTGAGATGGGGCACAGACCAGGGTATACGGGGGTGCTCTGTGCAGGGGGTGCTAGTGGGGTGGCTGGAGCTGAGGCAGGGGGTAGGCTGGGGGTTCCTTGGGATGTTTTGCACAGAGAATACCCTGGTAGGGCTGCTGGGGCCATAGTGGGCATGAGCCAGGAAGTCCCAGAGCACTCTTCACTAGGGCTGCCCTGACAAGCCATCTGGAGCTAAAGTGGTGCAGACCTGGAGTGTTCTGGGGTGTTTTGCACCTGTGTCACCTTGCCTTGATGGCTGGAGCTGTAGTGAGTACTGACTAGGAATGTCCTGGTGTGTACCATCTTGGGGCTACCTTAGTGGGGTGGTTAGGGCTGGTGTGGGCTAGGGGCTCAGGGCTCCCTGAGACAAGCAGACTCACTATGGTGCCCAGACCCTGCTCCTGTCCGCTCTATCAAGGTGGAGAGGAAATATTAAATGTGGTGTTCACCAGCCCCTCTGACACAGAAAGAGTTCCAGCAGCTCCCCCACCATTTGGCAGAGTTCTAGGGCTGTGTCTTTTATATTCTAGTTGCTCTTTTAAACCATGGCTTTTTCTCTGTGCCTCTGTAGATTGATCTGCTCCTGGTCCCTCACTACCATCCCTCCCCACTGCAGTTCCAGAGGCAGCGTGGGGGGTGGGGGTCCCTGCCTTACCGTGTCTCCATCGCTTTTGATGTTCTCTGCATGGTCTGTCTTCTGTTGTGCAGAAGCCATTCAGTCAGCCCTCAGTTTTTCTTCAGGAGGAATTGCTCTATAAATAGGTGTAGATGGGGTGAGTGAATGGAAAAGGTGAGTTCAGGATCTTTCTATGTCACCATCTTGGACCAGAAGCCTCAAAAGTGCTTTATTTTAACCCAAGCTTCAGTCTTTACAGAGCTTTCCGGTTAACTTTTTCTCTTAGGGCTGTGGCCTTTCAGCCCTTTCATACCAAGTCTGAGGCCTCTTGCCCTTGGTAAGCCATGAATTCCAATTTTTATCTCTGTAGCCCTATTAGACTGGCTAGCATTCTTCTCAACTTCTTGTCCACAGCTTGTGATTAGACAAATGACTTAGGGAGAAAATTAGTGTTCTGCCTACCACCCTGAGAGTCTCTTCCTTCTAGAAGTTTGGCTTATTAAGTCCTAGCTACCTTGGTAATTCTCCAAGCATTTATTGTGTTGTGTTTGTTGACCTTTTTGGTTTTAGTAAGAAGGTTGGTTTGAAATATGGTTGTTAACCATTAGGAGAAGTGAATAATCAGATTATCTGGTT